GTGAATGGATTAAAAATGGTGGTCAGGGGTGTGGTCTGAGGGCTTTAAAAGAAGAGGAGAGTCTGTCTCTCTCTGCTCTCTCTGCTCCACCATTTTCACAATGTGGTACCCTGCCATCACAGTCACCACCACCAAGACCTTAACCAGCTGTGTTCCTTGGACTTTTGGACTTCCTAGCCTCAGAAACTGTAAGCAATAAATTTTGTTTTCTTTATAAAATACCCTGTACTGACAGTATATTTTGTTATAAGCAAAAGAAACAGACTAATATAGGGGCAATGTCCAGTTTCATACCTTTGGGAAAGTATGGTGTATAGTGTGTGGCCAGTCATGGGTTCTGGAACATATTGTGCAGGGTTGATAAAAGGGTGTCAGCCTTCACCTCTCTCATGCTTCGCTACAAGGACCCTGTTAGGTTCAATGAGACAGAGGAAAGGGAGAGAGATAGAGATAGAGATAGGGATGGGGGGGGGGAGAGACCCAAGGTGCTATTTCAGCCAAGCAGCTTTATCCCACCAACATGGAGGGGAGACTGAATCAGATCAGTTCCCCTGAACAAAGGAAACCCTGGCAGAGTAGTGGGTAATTTTCAAAGTCAGTGGTATGCAAGGTGACACAGCCTTTTTGGTCAGATAGTGTCTGGTCAGTTAGGGCATAGGCTTCTGAAGCATTTCTTCCAGCCCAGCCCAATTGCCTTAAGCTGGCCATGAGGCCTAATAGACCCAACCTGCTCTGGGTCTTAACCCAGATGAGCCTAGAGAACTGGAGGAGAGGTTTCTTCCTATCTTCTCTCAGGGGGTTCCATTTCACTCTCCCTTCCTCCTTCCTTTTGAGAATTCATTTATTCATTCATTTGATAAGCATTCATCTGGTACAACATGTGATGGATTCAACAACTCTTGAGAGCGGCACTGGCCATGTTGGACAGACCATGCCAAGTACTGTGACAGGTATTCTGGGGAAACACAAAGTTAAACTAGACCTTGTCCCAAGGGAGTACACTGTCTAGCTGGGAAGGTCAGATCCATATAAATCAATTAATGTAAAGCCAGCTCTGGCCAGTGTCATGTGGAAAGTATGACGAAAGTACAGAGGTGAGAGGAGATGGCCTCTGGTAAGGAAGACGGAAGAACTCATGAAGGCGACTGAATTGAGGTGGGCCTTGAAGGAGGGGCAGGATTTTGATGAGTGAAAGGGTGTTCTTGGTGGAGGGAGCAGCATGACTAAAGGCAGATGTAGAACCTGAGCATCCTTCCTTTGGGGAAGCATAGACAATAACTATCCTTATTTATTTTTTGCAGTTGAAGAAACTGGAGAATGTTAAGGTTAAGCATTTCCCATGGAAGTGGTAGGACCAGGATTTGAATGAAGGTAGACTGTCCCTGATGGTCTTAACCACAACTCAATACTACCCCCTATGGGTTTTGTGTAGGAAGAGAGCAGACAAAGGGTAGTACTGAGGGATAGTAGTAATTGCCACCTATTGAATGAGCACTGTGGGCATTACTCCACGTGGTGCTCATAGCAACCCTGAGAGGTAGGTACCCCCATTTTGCAAGGTAAGGACACTGAGGCTTAGAGACTGAATTGCTCAAGATCATATCATTAATAAGGAAGAGAGCTAAGGTTTGAACACAGGATTGTCTGACATCAGAACCCATAGACCTTACCAATAGGTTATATTGCCTTTTGAACAACAGACAAAGGTCGTGAGGAGCCATTGATGGCTTTAGAACAGTCAGAGGAGTCGAGCTTTGTAAAGTGGTGAACAGAAAGAATAGAAACAGAAACTTGAGAGGAAATGGCCAGTTAGGAGACTATTTATGGTATTTTAGGTAAGAAGTAACAAGGAGTAGGAATGTCTATTAATAAGCACTGGTTAAATAAATAGATTAAATTAATCTGTAGAATGGAATAAATGGGAGTCAGTTTTAATCCATATATGCTAGTAATGGTATTTTAGGTAAGAAGTAACAAGGAGTAGGAATGTCTATTAATAAGCACTGGTTAAATAAATAAATTAAATTAATCTGTAGAATGGAATAAATGGGAGTCAGTTTTAATCCATATATGCTAGTAATGCTGGGATATACTGTTAAGTTAAAAAAGCAAAGTTAAGAAAAGTGTTATAGATTGCTCCTGTATGTGAAATTAAAGAACACACACATACACACGTATTATGCCTGTAAATACATTAAAATTCTCTGAAAGGATTTAGATATACATAAATCTTAACAATGGTTGCCTCTGGAGGGAGAGACCTGGAACCTGGAGATTGGGGTTTGGAAGGAGATTTACTTTTAACTATATACCATGTGAATATATGACTTTTCAATTAAAACAAAAAAACCTATTCAATTGAAGTAAAAACTGGTGACAGCACGAACTAAGGCCATAGCAGTGGCTCTAGAGAAGAGACCTTGGAGAGATAGTAGAGAGATGAAACAAACAGGCCTTGGGAGTTGAGGAGAGGTGCTGAGGAAAGGAGAGACAGTATGATGGTGGTGTCCCCAAAACCTTTCTACTCTGCCATCTCTGCCAGGGGCCCAGGGAAGGAGGGCTCAGGCTGGGGGAGATGAGGGTTCCATCTTGCCAGCTGTGAGGAGGGAGCTGTTGGGAAACTCTGTAATCCAGCCTCATTCCCATTTCTTGCCCCCTTTCTCTTGGTTATACTGCAGTGTTGGAAATTTAAGAGATTATGCCTATCGATGAAAAAAAATTACATTTCCAAAATATTATACTTTTACTTTAATCCTGAAATTAGTAAAGGCTACTAGGTAACAGATAAAATACCACTTTGGCAATCAAATAAATGGGAAATTTCATTCAAATTTGTAGAGCACAGGTTGAGCATCCCTGATCTGAAAATCAGAAATCTGAAATGCTCCAAAGTCCCCAAATTTTTGAGCATTGACAACACTGCATGCATGTGGAAAATTCCATGCCTGACCTCATGTGATGGATTGCAGTTAAAATGCAAGTGCACAACACACAGTTTATTCAGCATCCCAAGAAGAAAAAGACCCTCTCAGCCTCCTACAGCTGGGACATATCTTTTCTGCACATGGCAAGATCAATTCCCTACAAACTGTGTTGCATGCAAAAACTTATTTACAATATTGTTTAAAATTACCTTCAGTCCGTGTGTATAGGTACATACAAAACAAAATTAATTTCGTGTTTACACTTGGGTCCCATACTCGATATCTCGCATGTTAAAAAAAAAAGTCTTCATTGTCAGATGATTTGAGCCCCCATCACCCCCCCCCCCCCCCCCCCCCCCCCCC